TCTTGTCTGTTTTTTTGCTGTTGGTATTGTTTCCCTCTCTCTGCTTCTTTTTCTGCACACTCCTCGACCCTCTGATTGAACTTCCAAGTTTGGGAAGAAACCGACCATCCACCAGATGACTAGAAATCGCTGCAGGACCACAAGAAATATGGGGAAGCAGGAAAATACCTCTCCCACAAGGGAAAAGGATAGCTCCTCTTTATCCACACACAGTTCAATGGAAATCATGGAAATGTCTGATAAAGAATTCAGAACATTCATAATGGCAAAGCTAACAGAGATGGAAGAGAAGAGAGACAAGGAACTGCTGAAGAGGAAGGAGAAAGGAGTTGAAGAGTTCCAGGAGGTGAGGAAATTCATGCTAGATCTAAAAGAGGAATTTCACACTTTACAAAAGAATCAGATGGAACTGTTAGAGATGAAGGCTATAATACAAGAAGTCAAAATCTCCCTTGAAAGTATTAAAAGCAGACTAGATCATACAGAAAATAGAATCTCTAATGTAGAAGAGAAAATGGTTGGCCTAGAAAAATCCACCGCGAAGACTGAGAAAATGGCCCAAAAATTTGAGAATAATATGCGAGAAGTACTAGATACCATCAAACGTCCAAACATCCGGATAATAGGCATCCCAGAAGGTGAAGAGACTCATAAGGGCATTGATAATCTATTCCATGAAATCTTACAAGAAAATTTTCCAAACCTGGAGAGGCACTCAAAGATCCATTCCCAAGAAATACAGAGGACCCCAAATAGAATCAACCCAAGAAGATCTTCTCCAAGACACATTATAGCCAGATTGACCAAAACCACAGACAAAGACAAGATACTAAGACTGGCAAGAGAAAAAAGGCAAGTTACCTACAAAGGGTATCCCATCAGACTAACGGCAGACCTCTCATCGGAAACAATGAGAGCGAGGAGAGAATGGGAAAATGTATTCAAAGTATTAAGGGAAAAGCAATTTCAACCGAGAATTCTGTACCCAGCAAGGTTATCGTTCATTTGGGAAGAAAAGACACGAACTTTCCCAGATAAACAAAACCTGAAAGAATTTACCAGCACCAGACCGGATCTCCAAGAAGTTCTTAAGGGAGTGCTATGTCAGTAAAATTAAATGCAGACACACAGAAATAAGAGTTCAGAAACTAAGAAAATGGGCAACTTAATTGTAGGGCCAAAAGCTGGAGTTGAGTATTACATCCCAGATTTCAATCTGGAACATCGAACCTCAACAGATACAGAAGAAAGATTAAGTACATGAGACTGAACTGATGAAACAGTATTCTACGACTTGACTAAAATATTGCTGCTTTTCTTCTAAGCTTTGTTGTCTGGTTTTAAGGACTTTTGTCCTGTCTTCAGCTATCAATAGATTCATGTTCCGACTATTTGAACAGAATACTAACCTGTTTCTAGGCTTTAAGTTTCAAAGAAATATCCTTACCAGTTCAAAACTGCTTTTCTTGAAACCATCGGCTGATCTTGCTATTGAAAGTAGTTAGATTACTTATGATATTGTGTGATCAACGAAATGTTGGGGGAAAAGGAATTGAAGACAACTGTAGACAGCAGAGATAGTGTAATAAGAGAGTGGAATAGGGCAGAGGGCTAGACGTGGGGTAAAAACATATATGAAAGTAGAAATGGAATATTCTGGCTGCTAACATGCATTATTAAGCCACTATATAGTATATTCTAGATGGGAAACCACATTTAGAATGTTGTGATGATGCTCAGGGAATGAATGTAAATTAATAAAAAAAAAATTTTCAGAAGAAAAAAAAAGGCATTAGAAATACCTATTTGATGACTACAGTTAAGCTATATAGCCCTAGTTAGGTGCTACTTTACAGTATGTTCATTCTATTCACTGAGGTTTATGCCTAAAGTCAGTCTTGTGTTCATGGATATGTACATATCAGCTGTGCTTGCTATTGAAAATATTTAGATTTATTAAGATATTTAGTGAAACAATAAAATGGGGGAGGTATAGAAAGCAACAATAGATACCAGACACAGTGTGGGAGGAGGGTGGAAGATGGCAGAGGGTGAGATAGGGAATCAAGGATGGGAAAAAAGGTAAAATATACAGAAAACAAGAAATGGAAAATGATTTGTTGACAATAACACATATGTTGATGTGCTTGATTGAGCCAATATACAGTGTATTCTCAATGGAAAAATCTCATTTTGTATGCTATAATGATGTACAGTGAATGAATGTAAATAAAGAAAAAAATGTATAAAAAAAAAATATTATGCAGCCATAAAAAGGAACACAGTTGTGAGCATGCCGCAACGTAGATAGGTTCTGAACACCTTATGCTACGTGGAATAAAGCAAACTCAAAGGACAAAAAAAAAAAAAAAAAAAAAAAAAAAAAAAAAAAAAAAAAAAAAAGAAAAGGGACATCAGAAAGTTTATGGAAAAACGGGATTAAAGAAGTTTATTTTGATGGGGAAAAAAACAAACATTGAAATCTATGTGTAATAATTTCTCAGTTCTCATTCTCCACTAACTGTTTTTTAAAGAATTATTTATTTCCTTTTTTTTTGACCAGAGAGAGACAGAGAGTTCCTGGACTTGAACTGTGGTAGGCCATATGGGAATCCAGCACCTTCAACCACCATGCTACCTGTCGGCTCCTCCATTAACTTTGGAATGACCCTGTATATCTTCTCTAGCTATAGGAGTTTATGTGATTCCTACTTGAACTATAGGACATGGAATATGTTAAAGTTGTGAAGTTTAAGACAAAAACATAAAAGTACATTATATACTCAAGAGTTGACCAGACAGCTTAGCACAGAATAGATTATAGGGAAGTAAACTGAAAATAACTTAGAACAAAAAAGGAAAATAGCAATATTTGAAATCATGACAAACTCAAGACAATATTGGTGATACATGGATAAAAATGATACTTTCCCAAGAAAGGAAATTTAAACTTAAAGTTTGCCTGTGTGCATTGCAGTAGAAACTTGTTGATCATGCTTTTTGTTCCATATGAAAGTAATATTTCTATATTCTTGGGTACCATGCCAATTTTTGTCATGAATGCAAACTTTAATCTTAATTAAGCTTGTATGAAATTGTATTTTATTCTTAAAAACTAAAATAATTCCATTTTTGGGTCAGTTTGGCCCATTTGGAAGACTCTGGAGGAAGAATATTCATGTTCGAAAAGATAATTTTATAGTGCTTTTCGTCACATAATGGTGTAGTATTGTATTTTATAATGATCTATGGGTTTTGAAAGCTAAGTAATGTAATTCGGAAGACTCAAAGTAACTAGTTTTTGGCATTTTAAATGTTAAAAATTTGATGAAATCATTTGTATTGCAAAAGTTGGGACCTTATTGCTAGTCCTAGTTGATGATTACATTATTATGACTTCACCAGTTTTTTAATTGAAACCTTCTAAACTCTTGGATTGGAGATTTTAGAAAAAAACATTTTGCTGACCTTGAAGGTAGTTATTGTCCTTAAGGGATCATAGTTATTTTCTTTAGGGGTCTTCTTTACCACCCTTCCCTTAGAGGTGGGGAAAGTAGAACTCTGTATGCCTGCATAGAAAAGGGGGAACAAAAAAGCGGGCCAACAGGTCCCACGGTCAACTGTGGTTTGAGTTCCGGACCTGGTGGCTTGCTTTTTGATTCTCTCATCATATTCAGAAATAATAATAGTAAGTAAAATTAAATGATTCTTTTAAAAAGAGGGGAAAACTCAGTATATCCCAAAGTAACGGAGGCAGTCTCAAATTCATTATTGGTTATATATGATATCCTGTATTTTTATTTTTCCATTTAGTGAGATCACGTACTATAGGTGAACTTTTAGCTCCAGCAGCTCCTTTCGACAAGAAATGTGGTCGTGAAAATTGGACTGTTGCTTTTGCTCCAGATGGTTCATACTTCACATGGTCACAAGGAAATCGTACAGAAAGCTTGTTCCGTGGTCCCAGTGCCTTAAAAACTTGTAAGATTTTTTTTCTCTTTTGTGTTTTATATCTTTGGAACTTACTATTTTCTTTCAGTTGGAGTAATAAAAACATTTTTTTCTTTAATAGACAGTGTTGTAAGTGTATTTTGATCTTAGGCTGAATATATTAATTGGAAATACATTTATTGGAAAAGAATTGCCTTATATATTATAGAATATTTGCTGATATTTTTATATGTGTTTAATTTTTTTTGATGTGTATTAAAAGTCAGTAATTGTGCTTTGTTAGTGTATATTATGTTGTGCCAGAGTGGGTGACCTTGTTATATGAAGCTTTTTGGATTCATTTTGGATTTCACAACATTTTATTGGATAACAGTGGTATTTCATGTGGTTATATTTTTTATGTATTTATCCCTCTGCTTAAGGTTGAGTTTGAATGTTTATTGAAAATTGTTCAAAAATATATATACTAAATTGAATCACTCTGTACGTGCTGTGATTCACCTAAAGTGAATATTATCGTTTCAGTTTTGTTTCTGTGTAGTATTTATTTATTTTAAGAGTTATTTTATTAAATTTTATTTATTTATGTTAATTTGACCAGAGAGGGACAGAGTTGGGGGATGAGAAAGCAAGCCGCTAGGTCTAGGACTCGAACTGCAGTCGACCATGTGGGAGTCCAGCACCCTTAACCACCACTCTACCTGCTGGTCCCTATTTAATTTGACCAGAGAGGGACAGAGTGGGAGTTGGGGAGAGTGAGAAAGTATCAGCTTGACACTGTATCTTAAGTTACTGGGGTTTTTTTGTTTTTGTTTTTTTAAATGGAGGTATTTTTGTTATAGAGCAGGTGCACTCGCTAGAGAGACACAAAGCGAGAAGTCGCCCCCCCAGGAAGGATGGCCACGCCACAATCCCTACTCCTCTGTTCTCCTCCTGGGATCCTGGGCTCGCACGCTCACATGCACGCACTTGGGCCTGACATGAGTTTAAGCCACTGGTGGTCGACTACATGGGAATCCAGCAACTTACCCATTACGCCAACTGCTGGTCCCAGTTACTGGGGCCCCCCCCCCCACCCTTTCCTTGTTTATACTTTTGCTTTTAGGTGTCCCAGCTGATACAGTGGTTTTGAGGAACAATTGGGAGGCAAATAAATTAAAAATTGCTTTGACGTTGAATTTTTTCTTAGCCACTGAGAATTTTTAATGATCTGTATTTATTCATTCTTTCCCTTGTATTAGATCATTGGAAAAGTCATCACACATTGTTGCATAGAAAAATACGTCATGCCTTTTCTAATGACCCAATTGTTCAAATAGCGAATATTTTTCTCTTCTCATCTATGGACTTACTGTTACTCACTATAATGATAATCCTATTTAGATTATTTTAAAAAACATTTAAAATTATCTAGGAGTCCAGAGTAAGTAATTCAATTTCGATCTTATTTTTTCCCCTAGTCTTTTGCATGGCACCAAGAATGTTACCAATTCAAGCAGTTTAAGACAAAATAGTGACAGTGGACAGAAAAGTAATCCTCGTGAACATATTATAGACTGTGGTGATATAGTCTGGAGTCTTGCTTTTGGGTCTTCGGTTCCAGAAAAACAGAGTCGTTGTGTAAATATAGAATGGCATCGATTCAGATTTGGACAAGATCAGCTGCTCCTTGCCACAGGTCTAAACAATGGACGTATCAAAATATGGGATGTATATACAGGTATGGATTTATAATTTAATTTATTTATTTTTTTTGAAGAGGTTTTTCGCTATAGGGCGCGTGCGCTCGCCAGACAGAGAGAGACATAGAGACAGAAAGCGAGAAATCACCCCCCAGGGAAGATGGTCACGCCGCAATCCCTTCTCCTCCGTTCTCCTCTTGGGATCTTAGGCACGCACACACACGTGCCTGGCGTGAGTTTTAAGCCACCGGGTACATCAGAACACGGTGATACTAAAATTGAATAGGTTACTGAGTCAAAATTTGTGGGTCCTTTTTAAGATAAACACAGATTTTTTTCTAGGAAACAAAACTTACAATAGTATTAGGTAATACTGAGATTATGTTTGAAAATTAAAGTTATGGGATAATGTATATTTTAATTCCCAAAAGATGTGTGGGCTCACCATCAGTGGGGTGTGACCATGCCACAATCCCTTCTCTATTTCTCTATCCCATTGGGACTTTGGGCATGTCCATACTCATGCACTGTGTGTTTTTCTAAAGCTGGAACCCCAACCCTGGCCAATTGTGTGGGATCTGAACCATGATCAGGCATCTGGGATCCAGCTCCTGTAACCATGAGACTATGGGGCTGGCCCAAGGAATAATTCGATTTTATAGTTTAGTATGTGTACTGCCAAAGTGAGTACTTTGTATTTGAAAATCATACATACTCTTCAAAGATGTGGAAAATGGTAACATTAGTTAGGGACTTTTCCCTGAAATTAAACTAACTTGATCTAGGTATTTGTTTACATTTCAGAAATTCCTCTTCAGTTTTTCTAAAAAATTTAGGCTTCGCTATCTTGGCAAATTTTTTTTTTTTTTTAATTGCTACAGAGGGTGGTATATATGTGCTTGCCAAAGGGAAGCACAGGGAGAAGGAGAAAGTATTCCCCCAATGGGGTGTGGTCATACCACAGTCTCTTCTCCATTTTGTTGGCATTTGGGGCATGCATATATACCTGTACCCTGTGTGTTTTACAAGCTGCTGGGATCAAAACCCAAACTGTATAGTCAGCCATGTGGGATCTAGCTCCTTTAAGTAATATGCCACAGGGAAGGTCCCAAGAACTAATTCATTTATATGTGTGTGTGTGTGTGTGTGTGTAAATATTCAAAAGGAAGAAAAATTGCTTTTATAAAATCACTTTTATTTTCAGGCTTATTTTTAAATTAACATTTTAGTTGCATTCTTGGGAATTCATATATAAATAGTGAATATTTATTTTAAGAAAGCTTTTTACTGTAGTGTGCATGCACTTGCTGTAGACATAGAGGGAAAGTGAGAAATCACTCCCCAGGGGACAGGGGAATGGCCATGCCACAATCCCTTCTCCATTCTCCTCTTGGTATTTTGGGCATGCAGATGCATGTGTCCAGTGTGTTTCAAGCCACCAAGCTTGGGACTTGAACCTATGCCCACACCACCTGCTGGTCCCTGAGAATTTATTTTTAAAACAACATAAGCAGCACATAATTTAGTTGATGGTTAAATTTGCTATCGCTTTTCTTGTCTTGTTATATAAAATCTTTTCAATACAAGTTTAGCCTTAATGGTAATTATGGTGGGACCAGGAGATGGTGTAATGGTTACGTTGCTGGATTCCCATGTAGGCTATCGCAGTTCAAGTCCTAGTCGCTGTGGCTTAAACCTCATGCTGGGCCACGTGTGTGTGTGCATGTCCAAAATCCTGAGAGGAGAATGGAGGAGAAGAGATTACAGCATGACCAGCCCCCCAGGGGTTTGATTTTTGCTGTTTCTCTGTCTCTCCTACAAGTACATGCACCCTATAGCAAAAACAAAAACAAACAAAAAACTTTCTTAAAACTAAAAAAAAAACCTTATGATTATTTATTTTAAAAAAGTAAGCTAATAGCATATCTTTTTTTTTTTTTTTTTTTTTTTGGGGGGTGTTTCCTGAAAGACAGAGAGAGACAGAAAGCAAGAAATCACCTCCCGGGGGTATGGCCATGCCGAAATCTTTTCCTCTATTCTCCTCTTGGGATCTTGTGCATGCGCCCGGTGTGAATTTAAGCCACTGGGGTCCAGGACTTGAACTGGGTCAACTACATGGGACTCTAGCCACATAGGCATTACGCCAACTGCTGGTCCCAACACCAAGTCTTTAAAGGTAACAGTAATAATACTAATGAGTAAGTCATTTTATATGTAATAAAGTAAGGAGGTGCTTAAGAATTTCTTAAACGGTGAGCAACCCTGCTTTTCAAAGGTAGAAGCTGATTAAAAACAATACTAATATTGTCTTTTTTTTCCCCTTTCTTTTCCATCATATTTAGGAAAACTCCTCCTTAACTTGGTAGATCATACTGAAGTGGTCAGAGATTTAACTTTTGCTCCAGATGGTAGCTTGATACTGGTATCAGCTTCAAGAGACAAAACTCTCAGAGTATGGGACCTGAAAGATGATGGTATGTTTTTCTTCCAGGCTATGAGAAAGGATTAGTTTCTTTACATTACCATTGAAATACTGGGATTGTCTGGGGCATTTGATTTTAAGAATGGCATATAATCAAAGTTCTCTTTTCTCTGCTGACTCTCGTTCCCTGAGATCAAACAAAACATAAATGTGACCCTGAATAAGAGCCAGCAGTTACTCTAAGTAAACAATTTGATGTTATTCAGAAACTAACCACATAGACCTGTATCAACTATTGAAGTACAAAATCTGGACCAGTTTTAGGGTTTTACATGAACTGGTCTGTTTTAGTGTATTTCGTTTATGTTAGGGAGAGTTACTAACTTCCTGGATTTGCTTAGTAAAAATGTAAGTAGAAAGACCCTCTCATAATAGGCATGTTAGTGTAAAGTATCAGCTTATTGTGAAACTGTGTTATTTGTCGTGCTTTACAAAGTTTAAAGAGGCATCTTACCTTGTTTGAGGGTGTTGGAGATGAACATCTCATTTCCCTTTTTAACCCTCATTAAAGAGATGATCAGTTAATAATAGCTTTAAGCTAGAGGCTGGTAGGCTTGCCTCAGTATAATGGAACCTATGTTGAATGAAGTAGAAAACAAAAAACTCTGTGTTGGAGACTCCAGCTGTAGGTAGTAACCACTGCTTCTATAAAAAGTTTGCTAACAATCATGGGATATCCTGTGCATTTATCAGGTTCTCTTTTTGCTCAGCTTTTAAGAGGTAAAGAGATCCCAACAAAATACTGGGATCAGGATGGCTTGATAATTAAATTTTATTTTCCGCTCCATATCAAATGGAGCTTGCTTATCTCAACTTACTTTTCTTTCCTTTAAATGGATATTTTTTTAAGACTGTAGGCTCAGTAAAATATAAGCTGCAAGAGAGGAGGGACTTTTATTCACAGCTGTATCTTCAGTGCCTGTTGTATAGTAGACAGTAAGTAAGGATTCGTAAAACTAAGAGTTAACTATACTTAAGCATAGTTTTTGTGTATATTACACAAGGACTTTGGAGTATAATATAGGTTATCAAAAAGTAGAGGCATTTGAAGACATTCAAGTCTCTTAATCTTGCTGTGTTCTAGTTCCTTCATTTGTAGAATAAGGGGATTGGCCTAAAATAATTCTATCTTCCATAAAGAGCTGCAGATTTTTTCTTAAAGGATCAACTATTAAGTGTTTTAGGCTTGTAGACTATGCTCACTGACACAGTAGTACACTATGAACAAACTGGTGTGACCATGTTTTATTTACAAAGATTAGCTGCTAATGTATATTGCCAATCCCTGTTAAAAATTGCTGTCCTGTACTTGACTGCCATTTTGACGTCCCTAGGATTAACACAGACATTTCTTTTTGTTCAGGAAACATGATGAAAGTGTTGAGGGGGCATCAGAACTGGGTATACAGCTGTGCATTCTCTCCTGACTCTTCTATGCTGTGTTCAGTTGGAGCCAGTAAAGCAGTATGTGTCAAAGTTCTTGTACATTCATTGTGATTTGGATTATAATAATGGATGTGTAATCATTTAAAATCTACACCTATTAAGTCTGTGCTCGGTGTCGTGAATATCTTAAATGCTTTATTTCATGATGGGGGAGAAATTGCATGAAGGAAATTAAATGTAGTTAATTGTGAAGCGAGAAGTTGGATTACTTTTAGAGATAAATATTCATAAAATGAGGGGTATGTCAAACTAATTTTTTTGTAAGAGCTAGGAAAATTTATGTGCTATAGAAGAGATCTAGTCCATATATTAAGACATTCCCTTGCTAATTATTTTGTTCTCTGTTGTTTTATTCTTTTTGTCCAGTTTGCTGTTTAAAGTTTTGAGTCCCAGCTGGTCCTGGACATTAACTGAAAAAAAGTAACTTAAAAGCCTAATAATAAAAATACCTCTCAGGTTGTCCTAAAGTAAATTATAGATGACATTTGCTATTGTCTGTCTTATATAGCGTACCTAGCGGTAGCTTAAATAAAGTGACGCTAAAGAGGGTTATGCTTATTGAAGAACTCTTAGCTATTTAGTAGCTCTGAAGTAGTTTAGTTAAAGGGATCTTAATAGCTTCAGGTATTTATGTTTAAAGTCTAAATGCATGTGATGATTACAGTACACTTTGAATTAATGGGGAGGGAGGGTGGGAAGTGTTAAAATGCATTTTATTTAGCCAAAGCTGTATGTTAAATGATAGTTGCAAATGTTGGAAGTTTAGAATAAGATACTCAGTTTAGTATTTTAAATTATAAGAAGAACAAAGCTAGATGTTGACATTTCTATTTTAGGCTGTGTGTTTTCCATATGCTTCTTGCTTTCCCTGTCACAGGTGGTGGCAGCAATATTGGTGTGATTGAGGTTATGCTGGCACCACTCGCACACAGGCGCACAATGGTGTTAGCTGGGCAGAAAGAGTGGCATCTCTGGCTACCGGGCTGGGGGCGACCTTTACCATAGGATGAAGTAACCTTGCATTCGGCTGCAAGGTGTACTGTACGTACACAGGTGCTGGTCGATGTCCACTTTCTGCTTTTCTTTCTTTCTTTTTTTCTTTTTTAAAATAATTTCCCCCACAATGAAATCCAGTGACTCCTGAGTAAATTGATCTTCCTGTTTAATGGAATTGGGAGTCTGACAAGTGAAACCAATTTAACATAAAGCGATTGACTTTAGAATGGTTTCTCTGCAATTTTTTGGAATTATTTAAGATCTTAGAAATACTTTAAATCTTTGATCTGATTTAAGATTTGTGCTCACTTTCCTTTATAAGTAATATATTGTGTCTGTGCAGAAAAAGTACCAAAAAGTTTTGCTTTACTCCAAAAGGAGGAGAAATTGCTTTATTTAGGATTGTAATAAACCTCCAAGCTTACATTTACTGTAACAGTTTGTAGTGAATATTAGTATCTTATTTAGAGCTATTCTGCACAGTCTTAACTATTGATTTTAGAATCTAAAACTGTTTGTGAATTTGTTCTTAAGTAATTGTAACTGTTTTATACTTGATGACTAGTGATTGTGGTTAGTTTGCAAAAAATAAGATTGGTAAATCTTGAGCCACAGAATGTTTTAACTATTATTTTCATAAAATAGCATTTTCATTTTGTAATATGGTTTAACATCCTTGTTGTTTGCCAAAGAAATTTCATTTGGCTGTGAAAATTCTCTTTGCTTGCAGTATCTGTTTCTCTTCCTAGGCTCACGGTGGTGACCCAAGCCTATTGTAAACAAGTGATTTTCTCAAAGGGAGATGCCAATGGAGTAACAATTTGTTAACCTTACGTTTTCTGTCTGTATATTTTTTAAAAATCTGGTAGTTTCTGGAAAAAAAAGAAGGGGGTTTGTAGTACTTAACCCTATTTATTTCTGTATATTTTAGTTAATTAGTTTTTGGAATAAATGGATTCCAGTATAATTTTGTGGTTAAATTACATTGCCTTTATTTTATTTTTAGGCTTATTTTTAAATTAACCTTTAACAGAAACATTTGAAATAGAATTTGCATGTCTGCTTTAATTAACTTAAAAACTGATTTTAATCTGACTATGACACTGAGCATATTCTTTAAATTACTTATAATTTATAATGTTTAATTTAATATATCCTTAATTAAATTTAGAAGTTTTAGTTTAAGATGTCCGTTTTGTCCTTTGTGTATCTGAATGAACCTATAACATTTGTCTTTTTATTGCAGGTTTTCCTTTGGAATATGGATAAATATACCATGATACGGAAACTAGAAGGACATCACAATGATGTTGTAGCTTGTGACTTTTCTCCTGATGGAGCATTACTGGCTACGGCATCTTATGATACTCGAGTATATGTCTGGGATCCACATAATGGAGAAATTCTGATGGAATTTGGGTGAGTAAACCACGAATCATTTTAGTCTTTAATTCATCTCTGGCTATTATAATACCTTTTAAGAAGTTATGTGAATAATTAGAATTGCTAGCATATGAAACCTAAAATTAGTCTATCATAATTTAAAATTTGGTAAACTTTAACTATAAATTCTAAAAATAAATTTGGCTCTCTTGATATAGGTCTTTCTATTTAACAGTACTCAGTTCTCTGTAGAGGTGGTTATTTTGTTTTTCATGTTGGGGGGAAAATAGGTGAAACCAAAGTTTGACTTAATCTTAGTGTTTTGAATCACATTTTGAAAAAAAGAGATTAGTAATTCTTTTTTGTTGTTGTTCATTTATTAATTGATTAGAGAGGTTTTTGCTATACGGTGAGTGTGCTCACCAGAAAGAGAGAGACAGACAGAGACAGAAACTGAGAAATCACACCACCAACCCCACAGAGGGGATGGCCACTCCACCATCCCTTCTCCTCCATTCTCCTCTCAGGTTCTTGGGCACACACACACACACACGCCCAGCATGAGTTTAAGCCATCCAGTCCAGGACTCAACCGTGGTCGACTACATGGGAATTCAGCAACATAGCCATTACACCAACTGCTGGTCCTGATTAGTAATTCTTTTAAGGCCCTTGTCATTTAATTTGGATGTCATGATTCAACTCAGTCTTCACAGTTGTGCTCATTAATGCTATTTTGACCTTTATTCAAAGATAAATGTACTTTGTACTAGATAGTTTTGTTTCTTGAAGTGACTCTGATGTCCACTGAAAACATGTCTTTGGCCTCAGGCACCTGTTTCCCCCACCTACTCCAATATTTGCTGGAGGAGCAAATGACCGATGGGTACGATATGTATCTTTTAGTCATGATGGACTGCATATTGCAAGCATTGCTGATGATAAGTAAGTGTGTGCATTAATAGCTTGAATGACTTGTTATTACCTTTTAAAGATTTCCTTTCTTCTTTCTACGTAATATAAATCCTACTTAGCCTTAAAATCTTCTTGTATTTCGGGTTTTAATGTCTTCTCTAGACAAGACCTTGAGAAATGCTGATGTGTGTCTAAGGATATTGACCTGAACAGTTTTCTAAAGATAATGAATGCCCTTCTCTATGTTCCTTGTTTAACTAGTTTAGGCAAACTGGGTAGATTTTTAAATCAGCTTTTAGCACAGCTCACACAGATTTTTTCCCCCTAAAGTAATATTTTATAGAGGTTGAAACAGGAAATTTCTATGAAATAAAGGATAGGAGCAGTAATTTGTATCGACTATTATTGAGACTAGAAGATACAATGTCACATGAATGGGTTGTGCTGCTTATTGGTAAGGAGCAGAAAGTAGCTGTGTAGCCATTTTATTTTCTCTGGCTTTTTATCATAAACATTTCTCACTGAGCAGTTTGGTCACATCAATTAATAAAGCACTTCATTTCATTCTTTCCAGAATGTTAGCAAACACGAGTCCTTTTTTTTCAGTCTGCTAATAGCTACTGTTTTTACTGTTTGTTCAGATCTGAATATTAGTTCTCTTCTGTATCCTAGACACTCTACCTACATGAAATGACTTCTTGGAAAAAAAGTGAAATAAAGATACTGATTGTATTTTAAGTGTAATAAATTAAGGGGAAATCTTCAATTTACGAACAGTTTAAGTTTGAACATTGGAAAAGGAAGGCATTATTAGTTTCTTAAATGCAAATTGATCCAAATTACCAGCTGGTGTAGACCATAAAATATTTCGTCAAGCAAGTTACAGTAATTACCCTTTGTAGTGATTTGTGTGTGTTTGTCTCTTAGAACACTGTGGCATTTCTTCCTGAATGTTAAAGGTTGTTTTTACCTTCCGTTTCCTGCTAGATACTTACTGGTAATTTATTTCCTTTCCAGAATGGTGAGGTTCTGGAGAATTGATGAGGATTATCCAGTGCAAGTCGCACCTTTGAGCAATGGTCTTTGCTGTGCCTTTTCTACTGATGGCAGTGTTTTAGCTGCTGGGTAAAATAATATTTTCTCTGTTCTTTAAGGGGCAGTTTTAGGTGACTTTTAGACAGAGCCATTAGTGATTTGTTGTCAGTGATTCTCTTTTTTTCCTTCTTTTTTTGGAGAGGTTTTTGCTATAGGGCGCTTGCGCTCGCCAGGAAGACAGAGAGAGACAGAGAGAAAGTGAGAAATCACCCCCCAGGGGGGACAGTCACACCACAGTCCCTTCTCTTCCATTCTCCTCTTGGGATCTTGGACACACACACACACACGCGCGCGCCTGGTGTGAGTTTAAGCCGCCAGGTCTGGTCCGCGGTTCCGCGGTTGACTACATGGGAGTCCAGTGACATAGCCATTACGCCAACTGCTGGTCCCCAGTGATTCTCTTACAAGCACTCTTTATAATACTGTTATCTCATCATAGAGTGCACTGTTTGTTAGCTCTCATAAATTAGGTTTTAATATGAAGTTTGTGACTCATACATGGCTGTGGGTGATAGGTGTTTGAGCTGTAGAGACATTCATGCATTGACTGGGCTGACCAAACTTGTGCTTCTTTTGTTTCTGTTTAGGACACATGATGGAAGTGTGTATTTTTGGGCCACTCCAAGGCAGGTACCTAGCCTTCAACATTTATGTCGCATGTCAATTCGAAGAGTGATGCCCACTCAAGAAGTCCAGGAGCTGCCGGTTCCTTCCAAAGTTTTGGAGTTTCTGTCCTATCGTATTTAGAAGAATCTGCCTTCCCTGGTTACAGTAGGGAATGACAAAATACACTTTACATAAACCTCAAGCTTTACTGTCTTCAAGTATCTGTTTTTAAAGGTTTAGAAGACTTATTTAATTTGATACATTCTTGTATTACATTTTGATCAGTTGAGCTTTTAAATATTATTTATAGACTGTAGGAGAAATATTGTTGAACATATCAAATGTAATTTTTTTTAAAGATCTAACTGTGAAAACATATATATACATGTATATATTTAGATACTAGCTGCTATATGTTGAATGGACCCTTTTGCTTTTCTGATTTTTTAATTTTGGCCTGTATATACTGCTTTAGTAGAGCCACATTATGTATCTTTGCTGTAAAGTGTAAGGAATTTTATAATTCTGGGACATTGAGTTTGATGGTAATTATTGACTTGGGAAAGCTGAATTGCCTCATCAAAATGTATTTGGTTCAGGGGCTGGGGTGTTGAACTGACATGTCAGTGAAACACAATTTTGTATGGGAATTTTGTTTTCCTTAGGGATCTTATCTTAGAGGTAGAGTTTAAATATGACATTTAAAAAAACAACACAAACAGAGCCAGAATATAACTAGAAAAACTGTCATGGTTTCCACCCACCATGTGTGCCCCTCCAACTGAAGTGTTGTGGTAGGCTTTCATTTTGGGAAGCAGCTGGCCACTTCACCCCTCTGGTATAAAGTATTACATATTTTAGTCATTTTGAGAAATCCAACTACTAATATTTTGTTTCTACAAGGGACAATTCTTTCAAGACCATGGATTGAAAAAATTTACTGTATATTTCTGCAGGGGATGATATTGGTGACTTGCCAAAGAGAAGCAATACAGTATATCTGCTTTTGCCTTCTGTTATTTATCTTACCTGCAGATATTAAGAATGTATGCATTATGTGAAATGTTTGATTATATATTTTTGTTGACTTTTTAAATTAAAGACTTGTTAAAAAAAGTATATTGCAAATGTTTCTTAACTATTGTTACAAGCTATAGTGCTTTTTATCTACATTGTAAGAGAGATAGAACATTCAGGCAAATTAAGCAAAAAGGGTAATGAATGACACAAGACGAGGACATTACTTTAAAATTAATTCAGTGCTTTATGGATACAACTTTTACATTTTTCTTCCCCTGGGAGGACTGTTGAACTAATGCTTACATTAAAAGCATAAAAAAGATCTAGAACAAAGGAATATATATATATATACACATACATACATATGGATCCCACATGGCTGGCTGTGTGGTTCGAATTGAGTTCCAGACCAGTTGGCCTAAAAACATGCCAGATGCATGTGCGTGTATGGGTACCCAAAGTCCCCAGAAGAGAATGGAGGAGAAAGGATTGTGGCCATAACCCGTGGAGGTGATTTCTCACTTTGTCTCTGTCTCTGGCGAACATACACACCTTATAGCAAATTTAAGAGAAAGAAATCTGTCCTGGATCCTTCGAGAAGTCAAAACAAGCAACTTATTAGCCATGTGTAATCTGGACTGTCAAAAAAAAATATATTTGGAAGTTTTTAATAGTTGGTTAAAGGATTTAAAAATGTACATGGATGTGGTTTATGAACTTTTTTTTTTTTGGAGCGGTTTTTGCTACAGGGTGCGTGCGCTCGCCAGACAGAGACAGAGAGACAGAAAGCAAGAAATCACCCCCCAGGGGGGATGGCCACACCGCAATCCCTTCTCCATTCTCTCGGGATCTTGGGCATGCACACACATACGCTCAGCGTGAGTTTTTAAGCCACCGGGTCCGGGACTCAAACCACGGTTGGCTACATGGGAGTCCAGCGACATAGCCGCTACGCCAACTGCTGGTCCCTGGGTTATAAAATATCTGCTTCATAATTTTAAATTAATAAGCTACCATCATTCCACACTAACATACCTAATCAGGTAAAAATAACATTTTTGGAAGATACATTTTGTTTGAAATGTTCACAATTATTTGCTTCCTCGTTATGAAAATCATAATGCCAATGTCAAAAGAAGATGGCTGCAGTCAAGTAAAAATATTTGAATTTTCCATTTTTCTGGCAAAGAAGGTAGTAACAGGATGATATTTCAGAGTGACTGCTCAAAGAGAGGTAGAAAAATGTGGTTGAGATAGGGGCTCAGATCCGGTTTTAGCTAGATGGCTTTAAAATGATACTGCTGCTTTTTCTGTTTACCACGGGCATGTCATTTGGAGTGGAGAGCGGGCAAGAGAGCCTTTCTGTTCAGGTCTGGTTTCCTGTTTCAGTACCTCTTACGGGTTCATGCAAATAGGGAAATGTCTCACTCAGAAGCCAACCTATCCGAACACTGTAGGGCTTGTAACTTGATCTTAGGGTTATACATCTTAAATTTATGATCCTTGAAGTCCCTGCCTGCTTGTGAATGAGGTCAAGTTGGATTCGGCTGGTTTGTACTGCCCTGCAGGTACAAGACCTTAAAAGGGCGGACCTCTGGGTAGCATGCTATGGGTTGAGGCAGTGGTAGAGGACCTGGCTGTCAGCCAGCTGAGAAGGCATCAATAGAAAGCAGAAGTTGGATGTTGTCTCACAGGCCGAGATCTATTGAGACTGGAGAGTCCAACCTCCAAGTTAATCAGAATAAAGGTTTAGAGTTGACAAAATGTTTAATTCTGGTCTGAGGCAGTTACATTTTAACAACTTGAACACATAGGTTATAAAACATTAATAATCTAGTAGAGATGTATAAAGGCTGATTATTGTGTATGATAAAACCGTAGATCAAACATTAGTTGGAAAACACTTGAGTTTTTTGTTTTTAAATCCTTGTCTCAGAAGAGCAGTTGTCACTGAAATGTGACTTGGAGAAAGGGTCACTGTGACCTTGGTTTAGGTTTATAAGACCTTTGGGAGGAGGGAAGATGAGTAGGCATGCTCAGCCCGCCCTTTGCTGTCTGTGAAGCATTAGCTGGAAGGTAAACATCTGGTCTGAGCCAAGTGTAAAGTGTACAGTTTTGTTTTTGTTTTTATTCATGATAGAGAAACTATCCTCAGGGTCTGGGCATGCCATTCTTTCCTCTAGACCTCCAGCCCATCAAACTTGGGCACTAGTGTCAGACTACCAGCCTGGAGATTCCAACTGAGGGCATCTCTTGAGAAATGCATTACTGAGACCAGCAGATGACATAATGGTTATGTCACTTGACTTCCATTAGTCCACTATGGTTCAAGTCCTGGTCCCAGCGCCTTAAAACCTTAGGCCAGGCATGCGTGTGGGTGCCCAAAATCCTGAGAGGAGAATGGAGAAGGAATTGTGGTGTGGCCGCGCTGTCCCCACCCCCACCCCCAGTGGTGGTTTCTTGCCTTGTGTCTGTCTCTCTCGGTCCGTCTCCAGTAAGCACACACACTCTATAGCAAAATTCTCTTAAAAGAAAGAAAAGGTTACTGCTGTGCCACCAAGCTGGCCCAGTGTGGCCTTATTTATTTATTTATTTATTTAGGTTTTGCTATAGGGTAGGTGTGCTTCACTGGAAACTGGAGAGAGAAAGAGGAGAGAGAGAGAGATCATCCTTGAGCCAGAATGGCCACACCACAGTCCTCTACAATTACCCTTAGCATTTGGGGCATGCATGCACATGTGCCAGGCAGATTCGGGTCCCGGACCCGGTGGCTACAAATCTCACGCTGGTCTCGTGTGTGTGTTTTTCTAAGATCCCCAGAGGAGAATGGAGGAGAAAGGATTGTGGCCATAACCCGTGGAGGTGATTTCTCACTTTGTCTCTGTCTCTGGCGAACATACACACCTTATAGCAAATTTAAGAGAAAGAAATCTGTCCTGGATCCTTCGAGAAGTCAAAACAAGCAACTTATTAGCCATGTGTAATCTGGACTGTCAAAAAAAAATATATTTGGAAGTTTTTAATAGTTGGTTAAAGGATTTAAAAATGTACATGGATGTGGTTTATGAACTTTTTTTTTTTTGGAGCGGTTTTTGCTACAGGGTGCGTGCGCTCGCCAGACAGAGACAGAGAGACAGAAAGCAAGAAATCACCCCCCAGGGGGGATGGCCACACCGCAATCCCTTCTCCATTCTCTCGGGATCTTGGGCATGCACACACATACGCTCAGCGTGAGTTTTTAAGCCACCGGGTCCGGGACTCAAACCACGGTTGGCTACATGGGAGTCCAGCGACATAGCCGCTACGCCAACTGCTGGTCCCTGGGTTATAAAATATCTGCTTCATAATTTTAAATTAATAAGCTACCATCATTCCACACTAACATACCTAATCAGGTAAAAATAACATTTTTGGAAGATACATTTTGTTTGAAATGTTCACAATTATTTGCTTCCTCGTTATGAAAATCATAATGCCAATGTCAAAAGAAGATGGCTGCAGTCAAGTAAAAATATTTGAATTTTCCATTTTTCTGGCAAAGAAGGTAGTAACAGGATGATATTTCAGAGTGACTGCTCAAAGAGAGGTAGAAAAATGTGGTTGAGATAGGGGCTCAGATCCGGTTTTAGCTAGATGGCTTTAAAATGATACTGCTGCTTTTTCTGTTTACCACGGGCATGTCATTTGGAGTGGAGAGCGGGCAAGAGAGCCTTTCTGTTCAGGTCTGGTTTCCTGTTTCAGTACCTCTTACGGGTTCATGCAAATAGGGAAATGTCTCACTCAGAAGCCAACCTATCCGAACACTGTAGGGCTTGTAACTTGATCTTAGGGTTATACATCTTAAATTTATGATCCTTGAAGTCCCTGCCTGCTTGTGAATGAGGTCAAGTTGGATTCGGCTGGTTTGTACTGCCCTGCAGGTACAAGACCTTAAAAGGGCGGACCTCTGGGTAGCATGCTATGGGTTGAGGCAGTGGTAGAGGACCTGGCTGTCAGCCAGCTGAGAAGGCATCAATAGAAAGCAGAAGTTGGATGTTGTCTCACAGGCCGAGATCTATTGAGACTGGAGAGTCCAACCTCCAAGTTAATCAGAATAAAGGTTTAGAGTTGACAAAATGTTTAATTCTGGTCTGAGGCAGTTACATTTTAACAACTTGAACACATAGGTTATAAAACATTAATAATCTAGTAGAGATGTATAAAGGCTGATTATTGTGTATGATAAAACCGTAGATCAAACATTAGTTGGAAAACACTTGAGTTTTTTGTTTTTAAATCCTTGTCTCAGAAGAGCAGTTGTCACTGAAATGTGACTTGGAGAAAGGGTCACTGTGACCTTGGTTTAGGTTTATAAGACCTTTGGGAGGAGGGAAGATGAGTAGGCATGCTCAGCCCGCCCTTTGCTGTCTGTGAAGCATTAGCTGGAAGGTAAACATCTGGTCTGAGCCAAGTGTAAAGTGTACAGTTTTGTTTTTGTTTTTATTCATGATAGAGAAACTATCCTCAGGGTCTGGGCATGCCATTCTTTCCTCTAGACCTCCAGCCCATCAAACTTGGGCACTAGTGTCAGACTACCAGCCTGGAGATTCCAACTGAGGGCATCTCTTGAGAAATGCATTACTGAGACCAGCAGATGACATAATGGTTATGTCACTTGACTTCCATTAGTCCACTATGGTTCAAGTCCTGGTCCCAGCGCCTTAAAACCTTAGGCCAGGCATGCGTGTGGGTGCCCAAAATCCTGAGAGGAGAATGGAGAAGGAATTGTGGTGTGGCCGCGCTGTCCCCACCCCCACCCCCAGTGGTGGTTTCTTGCCTTGTGTCTGTCTCTCTCGGTCCGTCTCCAGTAAGCACACACACTCTATAGCAAAATTCTCTTAAAAGAAAGAAAAGGTTACTGCTGTGCCACCAAGCTGGCCCAGTGTGGCCTTATTTATTTATTTATTTATTTAGGTTTTGCTATAGGGTAGGTGTGCTTCACTGGAAACTGGAGAGAGAAAGAGGAGAGAGAGAGAGATCATCCTTGAGCCAGAATGGCCACACCACAGTCCTCTACAATTACCCTTAGCATTTGGGGCATGCATGCACATGTGCCAGGC